GAAAACCACAAAACTCTGATGAAAGAAATCAAAGAAGAACTAAATAAATGGAGAAAGATTTCATGTTCACCGATACAGAGACTCAATATTGTCAAGATGCCTGCTCTTCCCAACTTGATCTATAAATTCAACACAATCCCAATCAAAATCCCAGCAAGTTATTTCATGGATATTAGCAAACTGATTCTAAAGTTTATTTGGAGAAGCAAACAACTCAGAGTATTAAAGGAGAAGAGCAAAGTCAGAAGAGTGCCACTAACCAACTTCAAGATTTACCATAAAGCTACCTAGTCCAGACAGTGCTGGTGAAAGAATAGACAAATAGATCAATGAAACAGAATAGAGGGCCCAGAAATAGACCCACACATAGTCAACCAATCATTGACAAAGAAGCAAAGAAAATACAATGGGAAAAAGACAACCTTTCAACAAATGGTGCTGGAACAAGTAGACAACCACATACAAAAAATAAAAATAAAATACAAAATAAACAAACAAAAACCAAATAGCTCTAGACACAGAACATAACAACCTTTACAAAAATTAACTCAAAATGGATCATAGATCTAAATGTAAAATACAAAACTCTAAAATTCCTGGAAGATAAAATAGGAGAAAATTTAGATGACCTTGGGCACGACAATGACTTTTTAGATACAACACCAAAAGGCACAACCCATGAAAGAAATAATTGATAAATTAGACTTCATTAGAATTAAAAACTTCTGCTCTGCAAGAGACACTGTCAAAAGAATGAAAGACAAGCTACAAACTGGAAGAAAATATTTGCAAAAGACATATCTGAAAAAGAACTGTTACTCAAAATATACAACCAACTCCTAAAACCCAACAATAAGAAAATGAACAGCCCAAGGTGCCTGGGTCCTCAGTCAGTTGAGCGTCTGCCTTCGGCTCGGGTCCTGATCCCAGCGTCCTGGGATTGAGCCCCGCATTGGGCTCTGTGCTCGGTGGGGAGCCTGCTTCTCCCTCTCCCACTGCCTGCCTGTCTGCCTACTTGTGCTCGCTCTCTCCCTCTGTCAAATGGATAAATAAAATCTTTAAAAAAAAAAAAAAAGAAAGAAAGAAAGAAAATGAACAGCCCAATTTAAAAATGGGCAACATACCTGAATGGACACCTCACCAAAGATGATATAAAGATGGCAAATAAGTACATAAAAAGATGCTCTACATTATATGTTATTAGGGAATTGCAAATTAAAATAACAATGAGATACCACTACACAACTATTAGAATGGCCAGACTCCAAAACAATGACACTAACAAATGCTGGTGAGGATGTAGAGAAACGGGAAGATAGTTTGAGTGTTTCTTACAAAACTGAACCTATTATTATATGATCCAGAATCACTCTCCTTGGTATTTATTCAAAGAAGTTGAAATCTTATGTCCACAAAAACCCTACACATGGATGCTTATAGCAGCTTTATTCATAATTGCCAAAATTTAGAAGAAACCAGGATAACCTTCAGTAGGTGAATGGATAAATCAACTGTGGTCCATCCAGACAATGGACTATTATCCAGCACTAAAAAACGATGAGCTATCAAGCCATGAAAAGACATAAGGAAAACTTAAATTCATATTAATAAGTGAGAGAAGCCAATCTGAAAAGGCTACATACTGTATGATAGAGCTATATGACATTCTGGAAAACTATAGAAATAGTAAAGGATCAGTGATTGGTGGGGGTTAGAGGGGAGAGAGGGATGAGTAGGCTGAGCACAGAGAGCTTTTAAGGCAATGAGATTACTCTGTGTGATATTGTAATTGTGACCACGCATCACTATACATTTGCCCAAACCCACAGAATGGACAACACCAAGAGGTAAACCTAATATAAACTATAGCCTTTGCAAGGTTCATCTATTGTAACAAATGTGCCACTCTGGTGTGGGATGCGTATATATAAAGGCAGTGAACATATGGAAAACCTCTATACCTTTTGCTCCTTTTTTCTGTGAACCCAAAACTTATCTAAAAAAAGTTCTAATTCTTGAAAATCTGGACTGAAATTAAAAAAAATAAACTGGATGTTGATCTCAAGACTTTTTTAAAGTTCTCATGTAGGAAAATTCTTCCCTGTGGTTCCAAAAGAATGTTCTATTTCCTGCCTGAAGGTGGCGTTTGTGTACTATGGTGAAAGAATGCATCCCTCAATTAAGACCAAAAAAAAAAAAAAAAAAGGAAAGAAAAAAGGTTTACCAGACAGTAAAACAACTCATAAAACTGTCATGAGTAATTCCAGCAGCTGGGCTCAAATGGAAGGCTGTTCTAAGCACCTCTGGTTCTCCGGGACAGGGGTGAGCTTTTATAGATTAAGATTATAGACTTACCTGGGAACACTGAGACTCATAACTCAGTTGACAGGTGCCTTAGAGCTGAAAGAATATTTGCAGAGCTGACTCTCTGGGCTTTGTCACAAGCACTGCGAACTTCATGAGCTTTGGAAGGCCACAAGATCTGGCTGGGATAGACCGACAGGTTTTTCAGGGTTTTCAGCCCTGCACAGAACGTTTGACCAATTTACTCTCAGGCATACCAGTTGATTGTATCGTGGGAACTATATGAACTTGAGGGGGAAATCCCTTAATTAAAAGTTTCCTAAACCCAACTTCTATAGAAGCATTCCATCTACCACACGTTAAACACACAGATTTCTGAACTTCAACTTCAGAGGTCTGAATATCGAGATCAGCAGTGGAGTCTACATTGAAGAAGCTTTTCTAGAATGGACCATTACTCAGCTACATAAATAGAACAAAGTACTGATATAGGCAACAACATGGATGGCATCTCAACAACAATATTCTCAGCAAAAGAAGCCAAACACAAAAGACTACACACTGTATGATTATGACACACTTCATAAATATATAAAGTTCTAAAATAAACACAACTAATCTCTGGTGATCGAAATCAAGCTGGTGGTTGCATAGGGCAGGGGGTTATGTAGATTGACTGCAAAGAGGCATGAGGGAACTTTCCAGTACCAGCGCAATGTTGTATATTATATTGGAGTGGTGGTTACAGGGCGTATAGAGTTGTCAAAACTCATATAACTGAATACTCTAGGTTATGTACACTTAATTGCATGTAAATTGTATTTCAATAAAGTTGATTTAATAAAACACTTCCTGGGTGATTCAAATGTACATCCAGACTTGGGAATCTCAGACCCTTTGCTAGTGGAGAATGACCAGATCTTAAGTACACCTGAACTACACTGAAGCTTCTTTTTTGGTGTTTATACGCCCTCTGACAGAATTTCTGGGCCCCAGGGCACCTTCAAGATCAAGTTGCCTGCCCTCTGGATTTTCCATGTGAGAAAACTAAAGTTCAGAAAGGTTGAGAGACTTTTCTGAGGCCACACAGTAAGATACCAGCAGATATCAAACAAGAATCCAGGTCCTGACAGCGTTTTCTTTTCTCTCAGTATCACACTGTATTCAAAGGAGTAAGAAAAGGAAGTGGCTTGTAGATGTTCCTTGCTCTAATGTAGCTTCTTTATTTTTCATCCCCATCTCTACGATAGAGCTACTGTTACCTGAGCCAAAGAAACCGAATAGAATAAAATCTTATAAGGAATGGTTGAAAGACTGGTTTCAGTTAATTACTCATTCAACTCGTTCAAAGACTGGTTTCAATTAATTACTCATAAACAACAAATATTTGCTGAGTGCTTGCTAGTCCCAGGTCGAGGCACAAATGATCTGGTAATGAACAAGACAGGCCGGATCCCTGCCCCTTGTCAACCCCAAAGAAATACGCAAATGCATGAGCAAGATAATTTCAGACTGTGAAAAGTGCTTGAAGAAGACAGACAAGGTGATTGATGGAGAGACTGAAAAGGAGGATGTATTGTGGCTGTACTTGTCAGGTAGGCTGCTTGGAGGTCATGACACTGAGGAGCATGGGATGAGGCCAGAGATGGTGGGATGGAAGGCAGCCATCCACAAATGCTTCGCGGGCTGTCATGCACAGGACGCAGTGCACTGGTCTCATGTTGAACTTTGGTGAAGCGAGAACCAATATGACTAGAAGGGACAGAGGTTGCATTAAGATCAGTTTAGGGAAGAACTTTCCAACCTAGTGGTAAAAGAATTAATATTTGAGGAGGGCATACTATGTTCTAGTTTCCTTATATATAATACTTTAATTCTTACAAAAAACTTTGGGTGGCAGGTGGAACAGTGTTCATCGGAAGGAGTGACATCCCCCTCCCAAGAGATATGAACGCTCAAGCTCAACAGTCATATATGAGGGATTCTGGAGAAGGGATCCTTCATGGAGTACTAGAAAATTCCTAAAGTCTCTTCCAGCTCTAAGCCAGTTTAAGTCTGAGCTAAAGAATTTATGTTTAGCAAGTGAAGACCCCTGTGGATTTTAAAGGTTTAGCTGTGCTGAGTGGTATCTGCAGACCTACAGAACCCTTTGATCTTCCAAATAGTCATACTTGTGTACTGGGCACACAGGAGGTGCCCAATTTATTTTTGCTGAAATGAAATGAGCGTTTCCACTGAGGTAGAGACAGGTGAGTTGGGGCCCCCTTAACCTTTGGCCTCAACTCTTACAGGTGCTGCCCTAATTATGTCAGAGAAACCATTGTAAAAAGCAAAAACAAAACAACAAAAAAACATACTCCAGATTCCAGTCCAGGACATGGAACTTACTAAAACTTCTTGAACATTAATAGGGTATTTCCAGTTTTACTAAACTTTAACCATAAATTCTCAGGAAGGCCTTCCACTGAATACTTTCCCTGAGGAATGTGGCAGAATGACATTCTAATGTCTCCTTCAATGAGAAACCAGAATATGGCCAAGAACTCCTCTTGAGGATGGATATCAGCAGAAGTGGAAAGGGCAGTGAGCTGCCATGACCTAGAAATTCTGCCTGGCTTACTCACCTTCATATAGAGAGAATTTGATTTACTACAGGAAAATAAAGTTGTACATGAGAAAGAAGCAGCCTCGATTGGAAGGCTCTTAAACAGGTGCCTCTTCAGAGAGACAGGTGAGTCTCTACTACTAAAGGCCCTGTGTGGAAAATGGAAGACATGGATATCTTGGATTATTTGGTCACTGACCTTCTTGAAGACTGTTGCAAGGAATGAATTAGGTGAGCCAACATTCTTTTCATTCTGTGAGTCATGGCTCTGTCAAAATTACCCAATTACTGATCCCACTTGTCTCCATATGGAAAACAAAGTTATAGCTATAGTGCAGGTAATAACAAGATCAAAGTATGCTGTGCAAAATACGAAATTCCCACAAACCAGACTCCCACCGCCTCTGGGTGGCTGCTTATCACTCTGTGACTGTGTCCTCTCTCTTTCCTCTTATCCTAAATTATTGTTTTGTTAGAACATAAACCACTTAAAGGCTCATTCTTCCTGTCTTTGAGTTTGTTTCTGGCACAGAGAGAGAGAGAGAGAGAGGGCATTTGATAAGTGTATGACGAATGAAGTTTCATAGTCCTGCTTTCTGGTGCCTAATCCTAGCTAAAACCAACTGAACACCTCGGTATACCAGGCAATGTACTGAACACTTTAGAGATATTACTTTCTTTAATCCTTAAAACAACCTTAGGAAGTAGGTACTATCATCATCGGATTCAACCACCACTATTTCCATATGAAGAAACAGACCTAAACTTGAAACCAGTATAATATATTGCAGATTGCTTTTAACCCTGTCGATGTAGTAGGAACGGGGGGCAGGAAGTGTGTGGAAAATCTGTGGATTGCTTTGTCCCAAATCGGAGTACACAGCATCCAGTTTCTTAGCAATCTCAGCAACACTTTGGTAGAGTTGACGTTTTTGAACAGAGAGAAAAAAGCCAGCAGGGAGGAATGACTTTTCTGTCTCTCATTTTCTCCTGCTTTCCAGTGCTGACAAGGGACATTTAGAATGAAGCCAAATTTAAGTGAATCCATAACTTGTAATGACCAGTATTTTTGGGAAGTCTAGGGTGGTTGCCTAGGACTTTGATATCCATCTTACCACAAAAGGTGTTTTACTTCGAACTTCATAAAGTCTGAAGACGTTTAGGACTTTACATATGAATTCTACTTTCAAATTATTTTAAAAAAATGAGAAACCATTTACTGAGAATTCACTATGTACTGGACACGTGCACTAAGTCCTTTGAGTGTCTTATCTCAATTAATGCCCAGCACAACAAACACCCCTACTGATTTAACTTGTTTTCCTTAGCTTCAATATAATGTCCTGGTTGGCGGGTGGGTGGGTGAGCGGGTATCGGTGACAACTGTGTGTTCACCTCCAGAAAGGAAGAATAAGTACAAAAGCTTTGGCAGCTGTTTTTTTTTACACCAAACAAAGCAAAAAGAACCATACCCTTGACAACCTGCTATATCTGTCTTGGCCAAGACGGTCACAGGACTTCAGAGTCCTGTGCAACCACATGAATTCATTCCACTGGCCTTCTGAGCTAACATATCCTTCACCTCAAATAGTCCATAAGCCAAAAGAGTGAGGAGTAATCGATTTTGTAGCAGAAAAAAACAGATCTGAGTTTAAGTTTCACCTTTAAAAACTTGAAGTCACTGGTCTTTCTTCCATCAGGCGGGAAGCTAACCAGTAGACCACCTTGGCTTAAGTTAGGAAGAAGTGCCCCTATGGGCAACTTTGGTGACTTTGGTGGAATGCTTGGTGAGCAGATGGCACTTTGCACCCTTCCCCCAGGAGCGCACAGGCTCCGTGAAAAGGGGACAGGGCTGATTTCAGTCCCCACTCATCCCCTTGGCAGGTGCCTCAGGGCAATGTGCATAAATATGTGTGGCAGGGCCACTGTCAGGAACAACATGTATGTCCCCAAGGGGCAGTCCGTGGACCCCAGCCCACTCACAGATGGGTTTTATAATCCTAATCATGTTTGAAAGAATTCGAATTGCTTGTCAACCTAAAAATTAGGAAATTTCAAAACAAAATTGAGATTTCAAGCTTTTACTGAAAAATCAGAAGATCTGGGAACAGTGGCATTCCCATGTAGCAAAATGGACGGGATCTGAAAAGAACTACCTACTTTATGCATTTACTTAATTTTTTTTTCTAAGATTTTATTTATTTATTTGACTGAGAGAGATAGCGAGAGAGGGAACACAAGCAGGGGGAGTGGGAGAGGGAGAAGCAGGCTTCCCACAGAGCAGGGAGCCTGATGCGGGGCTCCATCCCAGGACCCTGGGATCATGACCTGAGCCGAAGGCAGACACTTAACAACTGAGCCACCCGGGCACCCGCTTTGAAATTACTTTCATCTATTCCGAAGTACTGGATAGTTTCCCTGCCCTTCTGTCATATTGCTTAAAGAGTGGCAGGCAATCCTTTTGCATGTAGTTGGGTAAGAAAATATAATACAGCTTTATCTATTCATGGGCAACTTCATTTCTTAGGTCTTATAGACTTAGTCATTACTTTGAGTTATTGAGATCAAATATATATATTTGGTTGATATATATATAGAACTGAGGCTAGTCCCCAATTTATTTCTGTGTAAAAAGTGAAGTAGGAATCTGACTTTGTTTTTCTCCAGCTGCCGTTGGTAACTAGCTAGCTCCAGCTTTGGTTTACTCCAGTTTCCACCACTTCCCCTTGTCTTACCTTGGATAGCTTCACTCGTTACTTGTTTGATCCCAATAGAACTTTGAGTTCTCAACACCTGGACTACTGGACAAATGGCTGGACAGTGCAATTAGCAATCGCTCTGGCAGTCCATTTGCTATGAGGGGTGGGCAGTTCCAGCCCAGGCAGCAGAGCCTGTGAATGAGACCAGAGTAGCTGTGCACAAAGGGCTCAACTTGGAAGAGACCTCCAGAAACCTGACTGCAGCTATAGGTCCTGGAATTGCCTGACCTGGGGCTTCTCACCTGTGCTTATTTTGCCTCCCTCTTTCTTGCAGGTGATATGTCTAGGTCACTGGTAGGGAATGTAAGGAGAGCAAGTGAGATTTACACCAGTACAAGACAATGTAATTAAGAACAAAGCTGAAATCAAAGCATGGGATCAGGCTCCTGTGTTTACACAAAACATGTAATAACGTTGGTGCAAATTGACATGGTTATTCTAAGACAAACACATCCATGACCTTAAACGGTACTTTGCACTTGGAAGATGTTCTTCAGACAAATGTTTGAGGCATGAGCTCTAGTCCTTATTCTGCTAGGAGACCCTGTACATCCTTAAATAAGCCACTTTCTGGGCCTCAGTTTATTAGTCTAGCCTACAAAGTGATGGGTTTAGACTATAATCTAGATCTAGGTTCTTAAGCCTTTGCACAATGCATGCCTTTGAAATACACTTAATTTCACATAAAATTGCAGAGCATTCACAGACTTCACCTGCTGATTTCTATACATGATTGTCCAATATTTTATACTAATTCTCAGTCTATTTTTCTCTTGTGTCATTGTCACAAAGATAGTATTTGATGGTTCTCAGCAGCTATATATTAAAGGTATTTCCCAGCCTCCTATCCTTGAGATAGTAATGTTAAGACAGCCTTGTAAAGGATATCCAGGGCCCCAGCATCTGAGAGAGACAGAGACCTTCTACTCCCAGAGTATATGCCAGATAATCACTGTCCCAACAGCTGCGTATCTAGGGCCCGGACCTCAGTTTTGTTTCTGCCCTAGACTTACAATAGGAGACCAGTGACACAAAGGAGCAGGACCACTCACAACCCATTCCAGTAAGGGTGGCTACAGTGACCACAGCTCCACTCCATCTCTGGAGCCAACAGTGGCAACTGGTTCAGTGGCAGAGTCCAAGGCTACATTGGAGATGCTGGAGATGCCCCAACACCAGAGGGACACTGGGGTCTTTAGGAAACAGGTTCACTGTGGCATTTGGAGCATTATGCTTGGCTGATTACTTGGCCCAACCCAAGATTCTGTTAGCTACCAATATCCGATAAGTCCCTTTTCTACTTAAATTAGCTAGAGTTGGTTTCTATTGCTTGCAACTAAAATGCTGAGTGATACAAACCTTAATCCTGAATGCATAAAATGACTTAAAAATTATTTTCCAATAAGACAGGCATCTGGGTGGCTCAGTCAGTTAAGCGACTGCTCCAGTCATGATCCTGGAGTCCCAGGATTGAGTCCTGCAGCAGGCTCCCTGCTCAGTGAGGAGTCTGCTTCTCCCTCTGACCCTCCCCCCTCTCGTGCTCTCTCTCTCTCTCTCACTCTCTCTCTCTCTCAAATAAGTAAATAAAAACTTAAAAAAAAAAAAAGAAAGAAATTATTTTCCAACAAGAGATTTCTTGGAGAGTCAGCTGTGCTGGGGCAGAGGGTAACAGAATGATGAAATCACATGACTTAATGCCACTGATTTACCGTACTTCTCTTTAGCACCCTGAGAAACTTACAAAATAATAGCAATAAGAGTGAAATTAAATAACAAGAAACCTCTTAGTTTATTCCTCCACTGTTCCATCAGTTACCTTCAAACAATGCATTTATTTAAGCTTTATCACTTATTTGGAATTTATTGATAAAACAGTATGCGTAGATCACCTATACATTTTTTGAGTGCCTACTGTGTGTCAGGAACTCTGCTAGATGTTGGGGCAGATTCATAGAAGAAAGAGAAAGGTTTTCCCTTTAAGATAAGCAAGAAATTCCAACATAATGTTGAGTACTTCAAGAGCCCTATGGAAGGAACAATAGCTGAGCCTACTCTGGGTAGTCAGAGAAAACTGTGTAACATCTGGATTGAGCTCTTTCCAATAGACCAAGGTGTGACATCTGGTTGTGTCTTTTTTTTTTTTTTAAGATTTTATTTATTTATTTGAGAGAGAGAATGAGAGAGAGAGAGAGAGAGCATGAGAGGGGGGAGGGTCAGAGGGAGAAGCAGGCTCCCTGCCGAGCAGGGAGCCCGATGCGGGACTCGATCCAGGGACTCCAGGATCATGACCTGAGCCGAAGGCAGTTGCTTAACCAACTGAGCCACCCAGGCGCCCCAGGTTGTGTCTTTGAGACTGTGTGAAGTTTCCAAGGCAATAAAGAGTGGGAAATAGAGTTGTGCCTTGTGAGTCTGAAAAAAACCACTGTAACTCTGTGCAGGCTTCCTTCGTGTTTCCTTGGTTTTCCTGTTCTG